CTTTTCTTTTTTCTCGGTTTGTGGTGGCCCCTTTGGTTCAGGACTGTTTTTCTAAGTCTTGTTGGCATTGGCCTCTGGGGGGTCAGGTTGGGGAGCTTCATGCTCTCCTTTGGCACAGGGGTTTCTGCTCTTTTGGTCCTGGGGGTCGGTTCTTTCGTTTGCAGCCATCTCCTTTTTTTCTGGCGACTAATGAGACTGCTGCTTTCCGGAGGGGTCCATGAGTTGTTTATGCTTGGTTGGTTCGACTGGGGGCGCATCATGTTTTGTCATGTTGTGGCTCTTTGCCGTTACTTGGGTGCCACGGCCTCTGTGGCAGGGTACGCACTTTGGGTTGACCTGGGTTCCCTTTTTTCCTGTTCCATGGCGCGGGTCTTCCAGGTCGTCTGTAGAATTATTTGGTCCAGCCAGCTTGTGGTCTATTCCCGTGCCCACGATGTTCGTTTCTTCGCGACTTTGGCTGCTTTTTTCTGGGGGGAGCCCCTACGGCTCCCCGGAGCTTACTAGATTGATGTGCTAATGTCAGACTTTGTCATCAGTCATGTGTATGGAGTTCATATGGGCCTACCGGGGACCATGACCCAGAACCTGGCCCCCCTGGGACTGGGCAGCGGCTGACTTTGGATCCTTGGGCCCGGCTGGACCCCGCCTGGGTTTTTCTGCCCTCTGAGCGGGGCTTACTGTTACAAGGAGTGGAGTTTTCTTTTCCCCCCATCTGTGTACGAGTTGGACTTGGTGTCTGCCCCTTCCCTGAATCGGTTCTGTGTTCCCCCGGGTGCTTCAGTTGTCTTTCCGGAGGTTTTCGGCTTATTGCACCCAACCTGCTGTGGTGCAGGTGGCCCTTGCGGCAAACCTCATGCATGACCCGGATTATGCCTCGGCAGTGGATCTCTCGGCTTTTAGGTTTGGGACTTCATTCCCTTTCTTACTCTGTTACAAGGTTCCGGAGTCGTCCAGGCTGGCGGACAATCCTGTCTTAGCCTTGGAGGTTTGGCACTCCTTCTGCTGTTCCCACATGCCTGAGTGGCAGGAGGCTTCGATGGTGCTTCAGGTTTTCCTGGGGAGGCGACCTTGAGCACCTCAATGAGTACTTGTTTGCTCCTGCCCTTTCCCGGGATGTTGGTGTCTTTCAGCTCCATGTGCAGGTTCCCTCCCTTTTGGTGACACAGGTGGCAGAGGACTTGCATGCTCGGGGCCTTTTGGTTGCGGCCTTGCACTTCTTTTCCCTCCTAGAGCTGTCTTCCGACTGGTTCACAGAAGATGTGGGGGCTCTTGGGGCTGTTCCTGGGTCTGGCGCCTTGGCCTCGGCAGCTTGCTCGTCGGCTCTCTTGCTGAAGCTTTTCACGCTGATCTTGAGGGATGCGGTTGCTCTCTTTTATGCTTCCCGGCTCGCGTGTCTTCAGACGGTGCTTGCCTTTTCTGTGGAATCCTCTTGGGCTTTGGCTCTTAGGATGTCTTCCCTTTTTCTCTTTTGTTTGAGGCTTACGCCGTTGTGCAGTATATCCAGGCTGTTTCGGCTTCTTGCCATCCTATGTCGAACTTGCTGGTTCTCCTGGGGTCATGCGATGTGCCTTCCCGTAATGGTCGTGCCAAGGCTCGGGATTCCTCTCGTCGTGGTAGGCCACTGGTGTTTGGTTCGGGTTCGGTTCCTCCTTCGGACCCCCTTCGTCTGGTCGGCGCAGTGTTCGCTGTGTGCGAGGTTCTGGGTCTCGTAAGGGGTGCCGGCCCTTTCACGGTTCGCCCCATTGACGAGGCGAGGGGGGGGGGGGGCCTGCACTGTTCGCTCATGCCTGGTCCAACGATTTGTGGGCGTTTCGGGGCGTTTCGCACAGCCTCTTGTGGTGTTGGGGTGGCCCCTCCACCTGCAGGGGGTTCGGGGCTGGCGGAGCAGGCTTCTTTCCCTGTGCTCTGCCAAGTCGTCTTGGAGTGGGTTTGCTTGGGCGTGGTCGAAACGACGACGTCCCTCAGATGGGTTTGCAGTCTGTTTCCAGTCCCAAAATAGGACTGCGTGTACCTTTGGTTCATTCTGGATTTGTCCTGTCTGAACACCTGGGTTCATTGCCCCTCCTTTCGGATAACCACGCTGTTCCAGGTTCGGCTCCTATTGGAGGCGGGTGCTTGGATGGTGTCCCTGGACCTCCGGAATGCTTATTGGCACGTCCCGATTCATCCAGGGTTCAGGGACTGGCTCGGTTTTGTTGTGGGGCTTCGTGCTTACCGCTTTCGTTGTCTTGTGTTCGGTTTGGCACCTCCCGTTTTCATGCGCCTCACGCGGGTCGTGGTGACCCGTCTGCGTCTGTTAGGTGTTTGTGTGTGGCTACCTCGATAACTGGCAGGTTTGGGTTCCCAGCCAGTCCGCTTGTCTACTGGCCAGGGATCTGGTTCTTTCTCAGCTCACCGGATTAGGGGTCTTGGTGAACTGGAGAAAGTCCCATCTGGTTCCCTCCCAGGTTCGGACCTGGCTGGGCCTTGTGTGGGACTCTCGGACTGCTTCCTTGTCTCTTCCTCCGGAGTTTCTCCTGCAGCTGCGGTCCCACATGCTCCTGTTTCTGGGGGGTTCCCGGGTCACCCGGCGGTTGCTCAAGGGTCTATGCGGGAGCCTGAACCTGTTGCCTTCAACCAGTCAACCTCGTGCTGAGTACGGCTGTACTCGTGCCCATTGATTTTCTGCTACAAGTTCTTGCAAAATATTGCTTCATTTTTGGTATTAATAAGACACTATTAGTAAGCCCCTGAGACATTTTGTTGTATAACAATACAGCTGTAGTCCAAAAATGTTAAATTCCACAATTATTTTTCCACCAGCGGTTAAATACTGTACGTTAATCACAGACAAAGCTAAGGGCACTGGGTGCATACTGTATGAACGCAGACTAGGTCTATAAGTACACCCTACAGTAGGCTGGTGTTTAAGCCAGGTCCAGTAACATAAATTTCTCTCATTCGATTTACATCAAATTATATAATTTTGCGTTATATATTTAGTTTAGCAACATTATTACGATAATAAGAGCTATAAAAAATACTTATTTTTGAACTGATTTATTAATTTTATTATTTCAAAGCCGTAGGTCACTGAACTGTGGCGACGATATCGAAGAAAACAAGCATGGTGTTGTGTTCGATTTCCAGTAACATAAATTTCTCTCAAATATTGTATTTACATCAAATTATATATTTTGGGGCTATTCATTTAGTTTAGCAACATTATTACGATAATAAGGGCTATAAAAATACTTATTTTAGAACTGAATTCTTAATTTTATTATTTCGAAGCCGTAGGTCACTGAACTATGGCGACGAAATCAATCAAAACAAGCATGGTGTTGTGTGCACACTAATTAGAACCGTCCACTCATGCTGGACTTGTGAGCCGCCATTAACATGAATAATTCCTCAAATCGCAGATATCTTTCATATTACAGTATATTTTTGGTTTTATTTAGTTTGGTTTAATTAGGATAATAAAGAGTTATTAAAACACCAGTTTTAGAAATGATTTATTGATCTGAAACGTTCAAAGTCATGGGTTACTGAACTATGACAAAACAGACGAAAGTGAGTGAAACCTCACTGTAAAGTGAGGTTTACTGTACAGTATTCCCTTATCTGTCCACCCTCACTCTTCTTGTTTCATCACAGAAAATGTATATAAGACGATTTCAACGCGTTAGCTAGCTATTCACGCTTCAGCCTTTAAATTAATTTGCAAAGATACGTGTGCCACAAATCAGTGAAAGAAAGTCATTGAAACTCAGTCGTTCTCTTGTGTGGACCACTCTGGCTGGTGTTTGGTTAATGTTTTACTTGTTGTGTGGACCATTCTGGCTGGTGTTTGGTTCATATGGTTCACTTGTTGTGTGATCCAACTTATCTTATGAAGGAAATATTAATTGTAATCTGTGATAGAATGAGACAGTTTTCCACCACTCTGTGAACTCTGTCCCAACATTGTAAGCTTGTGGACCACTTGCGGTCCACTTGTGTGGCCCACATGTGTGGTCCACTTGTGTGATCCAACTTGTCATATGAAGGAATTATTAATTTTAACCTGTGATGGGATGGGAAAGTTTTCCACCATTCTGTGAACTGTCCCAACATCGTAAGCTTGTGGACCACTTGTGGACCACTTGTGCGGTCCACTTGTGTGATCGAACTTGTCATATGAGCGAATTATTAATTGTAATCTGGGATAGAATGGGAAATTTTTCCACCAGTGTGTGAACTCGGTCTCGGCATCGTAAGCAAATCCGAACATCCCTCTCTTCGGCGAACCATTGTTCATCTAACCGGGTGAGTAAATCCGGCCTGAAAAGTGTGCGAACTCGCCGGAGTTTCGTTGAATCGGGGTACGTTGAATTGAGGTTGTACTGTATCCGGAAACCGTGATTATCCGGACTATATTCCCATATAGTCCGGATAATCGAGTGGAGACAGTATTTTATATTTTTTAAGCCGATTTGAAAAACTGAAATTTTATTTATATATTTTTCTTCGGGGAGCCACTACGGCTCCCCGGAGCTATCCAGGCTGATATGCTAATATCAGACTTTGGCATCAGTCATGTGTATGGAGTTCTTTGGGCCTCCTGGGGACCACGGGCAGAACCTGGCCCCCTCAGAGAGGCAAGGAGAGTAATGGCCTATAGAAGCCATCATTTAGTGTGTGGTTGGAAGCATTCTGTCTGCCATCGACCGGGTCGAGCACCCAGAAAGGTAAGCATCCCAAAACAAACCCCCATTCTGGTGAAAATATTGCTACCTAGTTGTGCTTGCTACCCCCGCAAGCACATCTAGGCGAATACATCAATGTGCAGTCTCAAATCCTCCTAAACAGTATCTGCACTTGTCAACCATATTTTTCTTTATCAGAATTTTTTCTATCTGAATTACACTTCCTATTTTTTTATGGTTTACTTCACTATGCTTCCTCTGTTGCAACAATTAGGTACATAAAAAATTAATCTACTTTTATTATTATTATTATTATTATTATTATTATAGAGAAGTGAGCATGCAGTTAAGGGAAGAGATGAAGAACCTTCAAGAATCGCTGACAAGCAGTTCCCGGCGGGCACATGAAGCTGAAGTTAAATATATGTGTATCAAGAAAGACCTTGTAGAGGATCGCCTAAATCGGTATGGATATTATATTGCACACTTTTATATTATATTAGGGAGCCGAGCGGACAGCACGCTGGACTTGTGATCCTGTGGTCCTGGGTTCGATCCCAGGTGCCGGCGAGAAACAATGGGTAGAGTTTCTTTCACCCTATGCCCCTGTTACCTAGCAGTAAAATAGGTACCTGGTGTTAGTCAGCTGTCATGGGCTGCTTCCTGGGGGTGGAGGCCTGGTCGAGGACCGGGCCGCGGGGACACTAAAAAGCCCCGAAATCATCTCAAGATAACCACAAAGATTTGTCCATTTTCTTTCAGGAAGGGAGAGAGGCGGGGAGGGGTTGTGGTAATGGCCAAATCTTATTGTGTTCGTGTTGCCTTTATGTGCGTGTCTCAATCATCATACTTTTTTTGTATTTCATCAAACTTCTAGTCATTGGTTTGTCCATCCGGTATTAACCCTTAAGCTGCTAAGGGGTCCTGAGGAGATTTACACCTCTTTGAGCAAGAAAAGAAAAATTCTAAAAAATTTTGTCTTCTAAAAATTTTAATTTGTGTTCCCTGAGCATGGGAAAAAAAATCATAGGTGGCATATTTTGGGCGCAATAGGCCGAGGAAGTCTGGCAAAATGTAGGCGTTGACAAAACCTTCGTCAGAGCCGGTCAGCATCACCCGAGCTGACATGTGGGAGTTGCCACAAAGATGATATTACCATATTTATTTCAATGTTTCTGATTGATTTTTTCTTAGTTTTTTTGCAATAATATTATTCAATAGTGTGTATTGTGATATATTTATACAGTATAATAAAAGGGGTGAATGATCGCTATACTCAAAAGTATGGTGTGCATATTAGTGATTCAATTATTATGTTCATAAAACAATAAACAAATAGTTTTGCTGTTATTATACTCTATACATAGTTTATATATAAGTATCTGCATGTTTTGTTCACCATAACGAACCACTAAGTTGGTATTGTGAGTCAAAAAGCAACGAGGAGTGACCGCCACACACAGCCAGCCACCCGTTGCCACTCCCTCAACAACGCCTCACTCGCCCACTTTCTCCTCCCACCATCCTGTTTTTTATTTTATTCACTATATACAGATGTTATATATAAGTATCTACATGTTTTGTTCAACACAACTGTACAACCAAGCTTATATAGTTAGTTCAGGCTCTAAGAGACGTCGCTACACACAGTCAGCTGGCAGCTGCCTTCCTCACACATTCAAGGTCACACGTACTAAATTTCTCCCCCAACAATACTGTTTGCAGTGTTATTACACTATATACACATATTATATGTAAGTATCTACATGTTGTATGCACCATAACTGTACACCTACGCTTGTAGGGTTCCCAAAGAGCATAGTGGCCACCCTCTACACAGCTAGACAAGTCATGCAGACGACGCCACCTCCGTCACCCAAATGGCTCCTCCCAACATAATCATCTTGCTGTTATTACACTTAAGACACACATTATATATAAGTATCTACATTTGTGTTCACCATAGAGAACTGAGCTGGTATGGTGAATGCAGACAATAACAGGTGGCCACACAGTCAGTAAACGATGCTATCTCCCTCCGTCCTTCAGCATCACTCCTCCCACAGTGCTATTTATCACAATCCTGGTCATTTTTATCACAGTCAGGGGTCATCTGTAATACTGTCTTCGCTAAATAATAGCAGTTATGTATTTATTTTGACATTTTTCAGCGATGCTATGGTCACAAGCTGAGCAGCAATGCTATTCGCTCATGCTGCGTGCGCCAGTCCTGGTTGCTCTAACAGTACTGTGGCTCTCACACCGGAGAATATTGCCCACGATTTAAAAAAAAAAATGGCATCTGTTTACAAGACCCCGAGGAAGCTAATGTGAACCACGTGTAGCCACAGGCCATTTAAATCGAGCCTGGCACCCTATGGCGTATATATACACCATGAGCACCGTGGGACATGTTACTCATGGCGTATATATACGTCATGCGCAGTTTAAGGGTTAAGAGGGAGAGGGAGAAAGGGTTTAGACTCGTGCTGTAGTGTTCTTGTCACTGCTACATTCATGTTTTACCAAGGCAGTGAGTTTTGGTCCATGTTAGTTTGTATGTACTTAAAAATTTAAAATTTTATTGACAATAAAAAAAATGTAAATTTTGTTATTGTTCTATCTTTTAAGTTTAAAACTTAAGTCAGTATCCAATACTCCATATCAAAAACATAATAAATATTTCTAAATGACAATTGATATTTAAAGAACAATAGAAAGACTGAGTGAGGAAGCAAGCCACATGCGTCACCTACTACCTCATGCATCAGAGGATACTGTTCCCGACCGTGCAACACTCTCACGATCCATTGTAGCTTGGGATGAAACCGTGAAGAGCCTCCGTGATGACAAACGCACCTTCACAGTAAGTTTAAGAATTTTTCTTTAACATAGAGTTAGGTAGGTATATATCATTGGAGTTAAATTTTGGATTTTCTTGGCTATTCCACGTAGGTGCTGTCTTTGGCAGCATCACACCCTTTGGACACATTCATAACAGTCAGGGCAGTATGACATTCTGGACCACAACAATAAAATGTTTTCATACGACCCTGTTGGGTTGTATTGGTGTATGGAAGGCATCAATAGAAAGCTCGCTGAACCACAGAATGCTCACTTATAGGCACTTGGACTTTCCAAGATCTAATTGGCATCTTAGGAAGCAGCATTCCCACAAACTACCAGTTGTCCACCTGCCCACTACTTTCAACTTCAAAAACATCCACCTGGCCACTACCCTCCAACTAATTGGAGGGTAATATGCCAATATTCATATTGGCATATTGCCAATATGCCCATCTGGCCACTACCTCCCCCCTGCAACTGCCAATATGCCCATCTGGCCACTACCTCCCCTCTGCAACTGCCAATATGCCCATCTGGCCACTACCTCCCCCCTGCAACTGCCAATATGCCCATCTGGCCACTACCTCCCCCCTGCAACTGCCAATATGCCCATCTGGCCACTACCTCCCCCCCTGCAACTGCCAATATGCCCATCTGGCCACTACCTCCCCCCTGCAACTGCCAATATATACGGGAGACATCTCCCATCACGCAGGGTACAGTCACACCACCACAGATCTCCAGTATCATCTATTGATACTGGAAATGGCTCAAAAGGGCCACCACTTATGGGCTATTCATGCCCGTGCCACCTTTTAGGTGGCTTAATCTTCTCTCTCTCTCTCTCTGCCAATATACCCACCTTCTCCCCCCCCCCAGCTGCCAATATGCCCACCTGGATACTAGCCCCTCCCCTGCAACTACACATATGCCCACCTGGCCATCAGCCCCCCCCCCTGCAAGTACACATATGCCCACCTGGCCATCAGCCCCCCCCCCCTCCCCGGCAAGTACACATATGCCCACCTGGCCATCAGCCCCCCCCCCTGCAACTACACATATGCCCACCTGGCCATCAGCCCCCCCTGCAACTACACATATGCCCACCTGGCCATCAGCCCCCCCCCTGCAACTAGACATATGCCCACCTGGCCATCAGCCCCCCCCTGCAACTACACATATGCCCACCTGGCCATCAGCCCCCCCCCCTGCAACTACACATATGCCCACCTGGCCATCAGCCCCCCCCCTGCAACTACACATATGCCCACCTGGCCATCAGCCCCCCCCCTGCAACTACACATATGCCCACCTGGCCATCAGCCCCTCCCCTGCAAGTACACATATGCCCACCTGGCCATCAGCCCCCCCCCCCTGCAACTACACATATGCCCACCTGGCCATCAGCCCCCCCCCTGCAAGTACACATATGCCCACCTGGCCATCAGCCCCCCCCCTGCAACTACACATATGCCCACCTGGCCATCAGCCCCCCCCCCCTGCAACTACACATATGCCCACCTGGCCATCAGCCCCCCCCCCTGCAACTACACATATGCCCACCTGGCCATCAGCCTCCCCTGCAACTACACATATGCCCACCTGGCCATCAGCCCCCCCTGCAACTACACATATGCCCACCTGGCCATCAGCCCCCCCCTGCAACTACACATATGCCCACCTGGCCATCAGCCCCCCCCCCTGCAACTACACATATGCCCACCTGGCCATCAGCCCCCCCCCCTGCAACTAGACATATGCCCACCTGGCCATCAGCCCCCCCCCCCCTGCAACTACACATATGCCCACCTGGCCATCAGCCCCCCCCCCTGCAACTACACATATGCCCACCTGGCCATCAGCCCCCCCCCCCCTGCAACTACACATATGCCCACCTGGCCATCAGCCCCCCCCCCCCTGCAACTACACATATGCCCACCTGGCCATCAGCCCCTCCCCTGCAAGTACACATATGCCCACCTGGCCATCAGCCCCTCCCCTGCAAGTACACATATGCCCACCTGGCCATCAGCCCCCCCCCTGCAACTACACATATGCCCACCTGGCCATCAGCCCCCCCCTGCAACTACACATATGCCCACCTGGCCATCAGCCCCCCCCCCCCTGCAACTACACATATGCCCACCTGGCCATCAGCCCCCCCCCCCTGCAACTACACATATGCCCACCTGGCCATCAGCCTCCCCTGCAACTACACATATTCCCACCTGGCCATCAGCCCCCCTGCAACTACACATATGCCCACCTGGCCATCAGCCCCCCCCTGCAACTACACATATGCCCACCTGGCCATCAGCCCCCCCCCCTGCAGCTACACATATGCCCACCTGGCCATTAACCCCCCCCCCCTGCAACTACACATATGCCCACCTGGCCATCAGCCCCCCCCCCCTGCAACTACACATTAGGGGCCTCGTAGCCTGATGGATAGCACGCAGGACTCGTAATTCTGTGGCACAGGTTCGATTCCCCCACCAGGCAGAAACAAATGGGCCAAGTTTCTTTCACCCTGAATGCCCCTGTTACCTAGCAGTAAATAGCTACCTTGGAGTTAGTCAGCTGTCACGGGCTGCTTCCTGGGGGGAGGGGGGTGGAAAAAAAATGTAGTAAACAGTTGATTGACGTTGAGAGGCGGGCCGAAAGAGCAAACCTCAACCCCGCAAACACAACTAGGTGAATACATATGCCCACCTGGCCACCAGCCCTCCCCCCCTCCTGCAACTGCACATATGCCCACCTGGCCACTAGCCCCCTCCCCCCCTGCAACTGAACATATGCCCACCTGGTCTCTTGGGGCCCCGCCTGCAACTGCACATATGCCCCCCCCCCTCCTGCAACTGCACATATGCCCCCCCCCCCTCCTGCAACTGCACATATGCCCACCTGGCCACCAGCCCCCCCCCCTGCAACTGCACATATGCCTTCCCCCCTCCTGCAACTGCACATGCAACTGCACATATGCCCACCTGGCCACCAGCCCCCTCCCCCCTACAACTGAACATATGCCCACCTGGCCTCTTGGGGGCCCCCCCCCTGCAACTGCACATATGGCCCCCCCCTCTCCTGCAACTGCACATATGCCCCCCTGCAACTAAACATATGCCCACCTGGCCTCTTGGCCCCCCCTGCAACTAAACATATGCCCACCTGGCCTCTTGCCCCCCCCCCCCCCTGCAACTGCACATATGCCCACCTGGCCTCTTGGGCCCCCCCCCCCTGCAACTGCACATATGCCCACCTGGCCTCTTGGGCCCCCCCCCCTGCAACTGCACATATGCCTACCTGGCCTCTTGGGCCCCCCCCCTGCAACTGAACATATGCCCACCTGGCCTCTTGCCCCCCCCCCCTGCAAGTGCACATATGCCCACCTGGCCACTAGCCCTCCCCTGCAACTGCAAATGGCCCCCTGTACTGCTTGTGTGTGTCAGGTTGTGCACAGTCATTATGTTTAGCCAGCCTGCAGTCTACCCTCCTCTCCATAATGTTAGGAAGTATGCAGCTTTTGCAGCTATCTTTGGCAGTATGTCTGGATAATATTCGGGTGCGGACTTTTGGAGATCAAACAGGAACCTGGCCTCCTGGTATCTCATGAATGTCCCGGGCCATCTGTGGCCCTGTATAGCTTTGGGACGCCTATCCTGGTCATCTGTCTCTTCTTCGCCTCGAGACCTACAGTGCTGCCGCTCTCTTGGTGAAAACCTGTGTTTTCTTCTCTGTGGGTAGTTAGCTTCAGGCTCCCCCACAGAAACCCAGCACTGACTGTAATGAAAACACAGTTTCTGGGTGAGACCCGGAGGCTCCTGACCCCCCTCCTTCCAGTCGGCAGCTTTCATCACTCAAGAACACAGCTGGCTTTCCCTCCCCCATGGAAGGGTGGCACTAACGAGCATGGGACTAGTTGACCTAAGTGTTTTGTTTTTCTTTGTGAGGAAGTTCTTTTGCTCCTTTGAAGACTTAAGTTGCATTTTTTACCCAGACAGTGGTCTGTATTATTTTGCCAACCTTTCTGTGTTCCTTCCCCAGTCAATGGCTAGTATGGTATTCTGTACTTTACATGTAAAGTGGTCATATACTGTTGCTCCCTGCGCCTTTGAAGGGGCCAGGTTCTGGTGCTGGTCCCCGGTAGAAAACAAGAACTATGTAGTTGATAAAAGAAATTTGTAAGCTACTAATATTTGCAGGAAGAAGGTAAAAGGCTGCTGGGAATGGTGAACCAGGGACGTCCTCTTAATGCTCTTCCACCGGGAGATCTCGTCATACCTTCCATACCTGATATCAGTGTTGCACCATTGCTTTGCCTTGGACAGGTTAGTACTTACATTTAAATTTACACATTAAACCAATTGGTAATAGTAGTACAGGACTATATTTTTGTAATTTTTTTTTAACCTTAAATCTCGGCACATAAGGCGACTTTCAAATAAGATTAACATCAAATTTCAGCCGGAATTTCATGGTGTTAGATCATATCAGTGATATAATACGACCCCAAAATTCCATAACCATCTGTGAAGAAGTTTAAGTCGGTGAGCACCAATGAATGCTGTATGGTGAATAAGAATACATGAGATGGTGATACTGTATATCAGTACAATGAATGTACCTGTAAATAGTTAAAACTGTTGGTATGTTATCAGTGATGCATATAATAAAGTAAATATTATTTGTAGACTATCATCTATAGTGGTAATTGGTAGTTTAACCAAAGTTAATGACCAATTTGTTTACATACTATATGTGTGTGGTGTCGTTTGACTTGAGCTAGTGGGCGTGGCCGGTAGGTAGACGAAGCAGAGTTACAAAACAGTCCACTATTTGTCTGTTGCTAGCTTATGTCTTGACCAGTTTTAAAATTACCAAATTGTATGGGATTTTGAGATTAGCATTCTTGTATTTACAATGTAACAGCTTTAAAATTTGTTAAAAGTTGGTATTTGAGTAGAATTTTTAGATCCCTATTTT